TACCAGTCCATTTCAGCTCACTAATGCCTAAGATAGCGATGTTTATACGTTCCATTTCATTTTTGACAACTTCCAATTTTCCCAGATTCATACTTTGTACATTCCATGTTCAAAGTTTCAGTGGATGTTTACAGCTGTTTCTCTTCATTTTAAGTTGTTGCCCATCAGCAAATGCAGATTCTGTGCGCTTTTATCCCCCAAGCTTAGGGGGAATACCACCAAAAAGGTATGACATATGAGTAAGAATGTGTAAGATGTGTAAGAATGAGACGTGTAGATTTTTGGAAGAAGCATAACAGAAGGAATAGGCAATGTAAAGGACTTGTGTGCAAGAAAACAGGTTGGCCCTTGACTGGTATTGTGAAAATTGAATTTTGGGAGTATTTCCGTATTCTCTGGTTATAATGCTTCAGTGTGCCTGAAGTGTACAAACAAGGTTGTTTATGGTAAACATCTGCTTGCTTTCTGGGAGTCTGAAATTTTGGTACATTCTAGTCAGACCCTGTGAACACTCAAAACAATGAGTGTTGAGTCTCTGATGAACTTTCCTCACAGACAATGTTTAACATAGGTTACAATTCTTTGGTGGGGGAATTGAATATAGCCTGCGTAGCTTCAATGGGAGAAGACCATTGGAAGCTTGTTCCTGGTTTTATCTGGACTTTCCCCCATGTACCTTTTTCCTCTGCTGGTTTTGCTCTGTATCCTTTCACCATAATAAGTCCCAGTAGTGAACAAAACAATAGGCTGAGTCCTATGAGTCATGCAGCCTGAAGCTGATCTTGGGGACACCTATATACCTGAGATGAGAGAGTGTGAAGTATATCCAAGTGCCAGCAAGGAGCTAATGTGTATTCAGGGGAGTAAGCAAAGGGGAAAGTAGTAGATGAAGTAGATAAGGTGTCTTTTATTTGCGTACAATCTGGAATGTTACACAGTTTTGTTAATGAGATGTTGCAGTAGTAGAGAGGATCTATGGAATGTAATCTAGAAATAGAGAATATTAGGCATTAAATTCACTTCTGTATATCTGATCATCCTGATGACTTAAGATTTTTATCAGAAATGAAATTCATTCAAAAGATTCCTGAGTGGCTCTGGTGTTCTTAATATTGTTTTAGTCATTGGAGTTGAGCTTTTCAACGTTTCCCTCAACTAGCAGAGTCTAGAAGAGAAGATGCATATCTGTAACAAAAGCAGGAAGTTGTGTAAAAATGTTTTAGAAAATAGTGAAATGTCATGTTGATTTTCAATTCAGGAAGGCTTCAGAGATGAGGTGGTGGTGGTGTTGAGATTTGGAATGGAAATATGTGCATGAATTAATATAGTATATTGACTTAATAATTACATGCCTGATTCTGCATTATTGGTGTATGCTTGCTGCCCTCTATGTTCATCAGTTCCAAACATACATGAAGAGACTGCAGGAAGAAGAGAGACTCTGATTACTTCAGCAATATGATATAGTAACATTAGGAACTAAAGTACCTAGCAGAGAGACTTTTGAGAACTCTGCTTGTGTCTCCAACAGTGTGCTAATGAATTTAACTGATAACTTAAATATTGAGGATGGGGGTGGAGTTGCCCCAGAAAACTTGGCATAATTTTCTATTAAAAATAAAAATTTAAACCCAACATTCCAAAGGCACAGAGAAGTGCCATGTAAACTGTTAGTTTGTATACCGATAAAACCACCCAAATGGCATGGGAATCTACTCCACTGATTCTTTTTGAATTCCTTTAAAGGAAATTCTAAGACAATTTGGACTCACAATCAACATCCGGTTATAAGAGACTAAATAACAGTGTATTATAATTACAATGTTCTATGCCTGAAAATAAAGGTTTAGACCTATTACATTTTGAATTTTGGTTTTGCAATTCTATAACCTGTGGTATTCTATTGTTTTCCCTTTTCTCACTTTTATTTTTCCCCCTGAATAGGGAGCTTCCCTCTTGTTGATGCTGAAAACTTTTCTTAGTGAAGATGTATTTCAACATGTTATTGTTCTTTATCTACATAATCATAGTTACGCATCCATTCAAAGTGATGATCTGTGGGATAGTTTTAATGAGGTAAGTAACCTGGATACATTACTTAACTTTTAAAATAAGAAGAGAAGAATTCTATTTATTTGTTTGCTAAATATGTAAATAAGTCTATGATACTGAGGATTGGTGTGGCCCTGTAGGATAAGCATGTAACCTCAAGGTTGGTTTGAACCTCAAGGTCGATGGTTCAAACTCACCAGCCACAAGGAAACCCTGTACAGGGTTTCTGTGAGTTGTAACTGACTTAATGGCACTTAACAACAACTGAGGATTATTGTTTAAAATGAAAAATGGGGGGATGGATCTTAGTATATAAGTATTTTCAAATAGACCATTAAATTAAAAGTCCAGAAATATTGTAATAAGTATATGTGTGCCTTGTGTAGCCATTTTTATTTTGTATCTTAATTCTCCATTTCTACTATGCACGAAATTGTGTTTTCTGTGTCAGTGTGTAAATTACTATAATTTTGTTACTGGATTTTCCAAAAAATCCCTTTTCTTGTTCACTATCTTTCCGTTTTTTGCCTGCCATTTATGATTTTTTCTGTACTCTGCTATTTGACTCTCTTGTCTATTGTGGCCCTGTTCCTTTAAAATAGATGATCTATCACAAGCTAGATGCTCATGAATCCATCACTACCCTGGCATAGTTTTATTACTTGCATTTTGTCCTGTAGCATATGTTCTGAGAAGCAGTGTCATTAGGTAGAAGGAGCTCTGCTTTATAGTAGGGCATGAGTCCAGTTTGCCTTGTGCATCTGTGCTAACTGCACAAGCCTCACAAGCATTTGCATTTGTTACCGTAGTCTAGATTTGTATTTTTTAATCTTTTAGATAATCACAGATACAGTATTTGAAAGTATAATAAAACTTCTGGACATTTTCCATAGAAAAGCCACATATGTGTAAAATATTAACCACAGTTTCAAAGTTGAAAAGACTCTGAGTTAAGAACCTCTGCTCTGGATCTTTTCCATATATTCTTTCTGTTTCCTTGACTTATTTGAAGTCTGGTGTTTTCTGCCTGTTGACTCCTTGCTCAGAAGACATATCTTCCCCTACTGTTTGCAGTTCTCCTGAAGACTGGACAGTTTTTATTACGAGAGAGATAGTTTATCATTTAGTAACATTTCACTTGGCATCCTGGTGTGGCTCTGTAGAATCAACAACTAGATTTGAACCACCAGGTTGGCAGTTCAAACCCACCAGCAGCTCCTTGGAAACCCTATATAGGGTTACTATCAGTTGGAACTGACTTGATGGAACTTAACAACATTCAACTGAAAGCCATGTTATTCATTTTATATATCTCGTCTTATCTTCTGACATTCAGAATGTAATTCTGTCTTCCTCATTGACTTCAACTTTTGTATCAAAGTGTTTTCCTAACTCCATCTAGTTCTTAACATTAACCTCAGTTTTAAGCGTTCATAGCGTAGTGGTTACGAGTCAGATTGCTAACCTCAAGGTCAGCAGTTCGAAACTACCAGTTGTTCCATAAGAGAAAGATGAAGCTTTCTGCTCCCATAAAGATTACAGCCTTGGAAACCCTGTGTTGTGCAGGGTCGCTATGAGTCGGAACCAACTCCACAGCACATAACCATCACCACCACCATATCAAAGATATCATATGCACTAACTTCTTCTCATTTCATTTTTGCTTTCATGAACCAAAAGTATTCCCATTTTCTTTCTGGACAAGTTTGTTTTCCTCTTAGCCTCTGGTACAGAAATAAAGTGGGTGGTCAGGGCCATGAAAAATCTAAGATTCCCAGTGAGTTTTGGGAAATGTGCTCCATCCCTTTATGCTTCAAAGAAATAGCCAAAGTAGAGAGATATTACCAATTTAGGAACAGTTACTTGCTTGAAATTCAAATTCTTATGTAATCTAGAAAAATAATTTGAATTATAAATTTAATCTGCCTGCTTTAAGGACAGAGACTTTGCAAAATTGTTTCTTAATCATTAATAACCAGAGACTTTAGTGGAAGTGGGTTTTAGAAAATCAGTGAACCTCTCACACTTGATGTGAGGTTTTGTTCTTGTACTTTCTGGGAAAAGAGGGTCTGTGACCCCAAAAAAGTTTATTGTTACATTGTGTCATCGAGTTGGTTATGACCCATAGCAACTCTGTATAGGGTTTCCAAGGAGCAGCTGGTGAGTTTGCGTCACCAACCTTGGGGTTCAAACTGACTTTGCAGTCCAGCGCATTAACCCACAGTTCCACAGTAAGACAACTGACCTGGTACTATTTTTCTTATGAAGGCAGAGGATCTAGGGAGTAAAGAGAAACATGGATCAAGTTGATTCATGGGAGTGAAAATTGTTTCTGAATCTGGTGGTGGTGGTGGCAGTGTGCCGTGGAGTCGCTTCTGACTCATAGCAACCTTGCATAGTGTTTCCAAGGCTGTAAATCATTATGGGAGCAGAAAGCCTCATCTTGCTCCCATGGAACTGCTGGTAGTTTAAAACTGCTGACCATGAAGTTAGCAGCCGACTCATTTTTCTGATTCTTTTGTTGTTGTTAAGTGCCGTCGAGTCGGTTCCGACCCATAGCGACCCTGTACAGGGTTTCCGAGGCTGTAAATCTGTACGGGAGCAGAAAGCCTCATCTTTCTCCCATGGAGCGGCTGATTCTAGGCTATCATTATTCATATCTTCTGTTATTATCATGGCCAGGAAGAACACATAATACCTTAGGAATTTAATTAACGTTACCCACTGCTTTCTCACTGTTTTTATCATGGTTATTTCAGTTTACTTTGCTTTTAGCAAAGTTGCTCACTTACCTAGATGAAAAATGTAGACTCAACTCGGAGCTTTTATGCCTCTTTATATTAACATTGTATGCCTCTCTCTATATATATAATTTTTTAAGTTTTTAATGTGAATTGAGTGAAATTTTACAGGGCAGATCATCAGTTTTACATTCAACAAATCATATACTTTGTTTCATTACAATGATTATAATCCCCTCCATGTACCATCAGTTAACAGTATTTATCTCAATTCATTTTAGTTTTTTTTTTAATACTCAAGCATATATAATAATTTAAACCACCAAAGGGCACATTCTGCTAGCCTGCCTCCTGGCCACCAGCTCTCAGTCCCTCTAATTCCATGAATTTAGAGTCCTCAGCTGCTCCTTCTCTCTATGTGCCCATCTCTGCCTCCATCTCTGGTGTTGCTGCTTCTCTGGATAGGGTTCTGCAATCCACTTGTGCTCTTCTCCCTTGACGGTCCTAGGGTCCTTTGTTTCTGGATTGTAAGATTAACTATTCCCCATCTCTTTTCACGAGACCTTTCTAGACAAGATGAAACTATTCAGTGTGGACTCTATCTTTCCCTGCATACTTTTAAACTGTACTCCCTCTTGAAAACTTATAAGCCAGTCACTTTGTGCCTTTAGCACCCCCTCATTTTAAGTAGCCAATGTCTCATTTGCCCGTCCATACAGAAGGGATAGCATTGATGCTTGATGTGAAGACTCCTTCCCTCTCTGTTGGTATTTTGAGGTACTACATCCATGAGTATAGGTCAAGTTCATTAAATTGTATCAATTTAACCTCGTTTCCTTTTATCACAAATTGTTGGGTTGTTTTTTTTTAAATCTTCCTCTAGTTAAATTCCTGATTATCAAGCAATCACAGTTAGGTCAAATGAGTACTATCTGCAAGTAAGGGTGTTTCTGTGCGTCTCCCGTCACTTCATTTACTTCATATCAGCTAGATACTTCACTCTCAGCTCTAGCCCTCCATGGCTATTTCCTTATCCATGGACTCAGGTGTCCCCAGGTCTCACTACACTTTGGACCGACTAGTCCTTTCTCTTCTCTCTCTAATCTCCAGGTCAACGGGAGTCTCTGGAACATGGTTCAACTCAGCCCATTTCTTCATTGCTGCCTGTCCCCCTCTTCCACTCACCAGTAGACCAATGTGGTCACCAGGAAGCTTACATGCCTACTCATGTGTTCCCTTTGAGTTTCAGTCTTAGAGGGGCATTTGTCCTAAAGGAACTTGATTGCTTGCCTTGATGGCTTCCCTGCAAACAACTTGCTTGTTCTTATAGTAGCCAATCATACTGCCATTTTTGTTTTGTTTTTTTCCCTGCTGATCTTTCTTTGAAGATGTATCTTCTGTTGCTCTAGTTTTTCCAGGCTGGTCTGCTTGTCATTTTAAGTGGGAATGCCCCACCTCAGAAGCTTCTGAATGGGGCTCAGGATTCTACCTAAGGTCCTGTACACTGTAAAGGCTCTGCAAGAAGCCTATTTCATTGGGCAAACTGTCGAACCCCTTTTAGGTATTCCAATCATTTGTAGACTGAAGATGGGCTTACAAGCTTTCTGTAATCATGTTTCCCAACATTCCTTTCTATCCCACTCAAGTGGCTATTTCATAATAGTAGGCAAGGGAAACCAATATGCCTAAGACAGTCAAGCATCTTAGTATTATTTCCTCTCTTCACACTATGCCTCGATCATTGTATCACAGAGCCCTGTTGTTCCAAGGTTGAGCATGCATCACTATTTACCTCTGTCCCATTTAGTCCATGCAAACCTGTCTCAGTGTTTCCCTGTCTTCCTTGTTCTTCCACCTCCTCCCTCTTATGTATTGCCTTATGCCTCTCAGTATTAACATGGAGTCCTGGTGTGGTGCTATAGGATGAACACTGAACTGCTAACCGACAGGTTGGCAGTGTAAACCTATCAGCAGCAACTTGGAACCCTATACAGGGTTGCTGTGAGTCAGAATCGACTGGACAGCACTTAACAACAACAGCCTATTCGCATTATATGTTGTCTTCATAAAATATGTTGTGGAAAATGGGAAGAGTAGAGATAAACTGTAAAGTTTCTACGCAAAAATAATTTGGCCCTCCACCTCCTCACAGGTCACAAACAAAACATTAGATGTGAAGAAAATGATGAAAACCTGGACCCTACAGAAAGGGTTTCCCTTAGTGACTGTTCAGAGAAAAGGAAAGGAACTTGTTATACAACAAGAGAGATTATTTGTAAACATGAAGCCTGAAATTCAGCCTTCCGATGCAAGGTACATTACCCTCTTTCTCTCTATACTGTCTCTTTTATCTAAGGTTGAAGTATTTTTAAATGTTTTGTGATCATAGGTTCTTGTGAAACCTAGCACGATTGTTCTCTGGTAATAGTTTTTAAAATTTTACCCCATTTCTTTCCCAAAAAAAGACATGAGAAATCACTGTGTAACTGACTTAAAGTTAAAAACAGTAATAATAATCTTATAATGTTTTCTTTTTACAGCTGCCTGTGGCATATTCCAGTATCTTATATCACTGATAGAAAACAGTATTCACAATATCAATCAGTATCATTCCTGGATAAAAAATCAGGTAATTATTGTAACTCTTAATTCATACAAAATTGGAAATAGTGTATTTAAAAAACATTGACTAAGGGACATAGGGTTATGCTTCCTTGTCTAAATTTATTGAGCTGGTGCATGTATATCATGCACAAAACTGATCTGTCTTTAGTCAAGTGAAATAAGTTATGAAAAGTTACAGGAGAATGTCCTAGCAGCCCTGGTAGAAAGTAGCAAATACTGTATTCTCATGTTCTCAATCCATGTTTTTAATGTTACAGAGTTACATAAAAAACATTTCCTACTACTGTAGGCATAGTGCAGTTTCTTAAAATACACTCTGCTGATTACTTTCTAAGGTGAGTTGGGCCAGCTGCATTATAACAAACACTGGGATGAGTCTTATGGATAATAAAAGTTCAGCTTTATAACATAGATTATAATGAATAATTATTATAAAATGTTCTTCCGATTTGTTGTTGTTTAAAACCATTGAGTTGGTTCTGACTCATAGTGACCCTGTTTAGGGTTTCCAAAGCTGTAAATTTTGTGGGAGCAGAAAGTCTTATCTTTCTCCAGAAGAGCAGCTGGTGGGCTTGAACCTCTCACCTTGTGGTTAGTAGTCTAGTGCATATCCTGAAGATCCAGATCCATGGTGTTCCTGTTTGGCATAAAATTGGCATTGAATGATTGTTTTTAAACTCCACCACATACTATAGATTCCAGAAAGGTTAAACCACCTGGTTCAGAGTGATAAGCCACTTGCTCCAAGTCCCAAAGTTGACTGGAACTTTTGGAAAAATCAAAGAGCTTAAAACTTTAATGTGCTTTCCTGTTAGGAAGGAAAGGAAAAAAGACGAAAGTTTCACAAATAATAAGGTCTAAAACTATGAATGAATTTTAAATCAACTTCAATTAAAAATACATATATCTTGATTCCAATTAAATTTAGAAATTAATTATATTTTGCACTATCATTCATTGATGCAAATGGTTGTTGTTAAGTGCCTTGGAGTCAGTTGCGACTCATAGCAGAAGTGTATATGACGTTTCTATCTTCTTAACTCAGTAATTCCTAATTTGTGTGTTGTTGTTAAATGCCGTCAAGTCAGTTCCAACCCAGAGTGCCCCTAGTAGGGTTTCCAAGGAGCAGCTGTTGAGCTTGAACCGCCAACCTTGCGATTCAAACCAACTTTGCAGTCCATTCCATTAACCCACAGTGCCACACCAGAACTCCCAGTGTGTGTGTGTTTGTTTTTGTTAAGTGCCATCAAGTAGATTTCAACCCATTGCGACCCTGTATAGCGTTTCCAGTGAGCAGCTGGTGAGCTTGAACTGCCAACCTTGCAGTTCAAACAGCTTTGCTATCTGGCACATTAAACCACAGCACCACACCAGGACTCCAATTTGTATGTAGTTGTTGTTGTGTTGTGAAGTGCCATCGAATTGGTTCCCAACCCATAGCAACCCTGTATAGGTTTTCCAAGGAGCAGCTGTTGAGCTTGAACCGCCAACCTTGCAGTTCAAATGGCTTGCAGTCTGGCACATTAACCCACAGCGCCACACCAGGACTCCTCTAAGTAGTGAGACCTTCATATTGCCCTGGTGTGTATATGCTAGTTTTAAATTATGTGACTTTTCTAAATGGCTTTATTTATTCTGCCTTTGCTAACAGAAAAAAAGACAAAGACTGAGATGGAACTGCTTTTATATAGGTCTCCCACTGTCTTCCCCTGCTGCGTACTGCACAAGCTCTCCGTTTCTCTTCCTTCTCTTCTCTAGCCATAGTGAACTTGAAAGCCAGTTCAGTGCATGGACCCTGGATACTCCCTGAGCTTTGAAAGTATAGGATCCCTACTCTATCCTTTTCACTTATACTTATATATCCTTAGGTCTCAACAGATGTCACTTCCTCCAAAAAGTCTCTGCTAGTTTCCCTTAACAGGGTGAGACATGTATTCTGTAAACTTCCACAGACTGCCATGTTTTTTCCCCCATCAGTAGTACCAATGTGATATGTGCTTACTTATGTGTTTATGTTGGACTGTAAGATTCCTAAAAACAAATAAATCTACCTTGTTCACCATTTGATCTCTTGTGCCTAGCCTGAAGCCAGTCATGAATATATATATAGTAAATACTTGAAAAATTGTTGAATGAGTAAGTAGTGATGTTTGTTGACTTGTAAATAACTATAGTGGGAGGCAGACATTCAGTTTCTTAGTATGATAATTAAATAAAAAAATATTAAATTGTCCAACATGAGGCTCAAACCCATGGCCTTAGAATTAAAAATACTATATTCTACTGGACTGTGTGTTATAATCATTATGATATGGTGATGGTTGCAAAATATAATTGATGTAACTGACATCGTTGCATTGTATGAGGGAAAAATGTGAAATGGCAGATGTGTTACATATATTTTTACAATAATGAAAAATATATAATGCTGTATTAACTTTGAAACAAAGTATTTATTTAATTTTTTTTATTCTTGCTCTTTCATCTTCCTTTCTCACCTTCTCTCTCCTTTCCTTTTAATTTTTTGGTCTGTATTAGGTGTCATCAATCTCACAGAGGAAGTGCAATGGGTCAAAGTCAATGTAAACATGAGTGGCTATTATATGGTACACTATGCCAATGAGGACTGGGAAGCACTGATCAAACAGTTGAAAACAAATCCTTATGTTCTGAGTGACAAAGACCGAGCCAACCTCATTAACAACATCTTTGAACTTGCAGGGTAGAGTATGCTTGTTTTGTTTTGCTTTTGCTTTTTAAAACAGAACTAACATATATTTCCCATTAAGTATGACTCATTTTGGAAAGTAAAGGAAATATAAGTCATGTTTTTTTTTTCTTTAGAGACATTTAGACTCTTTAGAATGATTAGTTACAAGCATATTGGACCACTAAGTAACATAAAACAAGCTTTAAATAATATTTTAAGACTGCGGATACCAATAAGTAGAACATGCTGAATGAATTGATACAGTAGTTCAGGATTCATTTTATTTTATGAAAACTTTCTATTCAAGCAGAACTTGCTTTAAGCATGAAACTAGTGTTTTTCCCACTGATTTGAGGACATTTCTGCTCACAGAAGCCCCTTTACTGTGTACCATTTGCCTCCACAACCACTTGTGGAAAATGACGTTGGCTTCACGGATGACTGTCCAAATAGAAAGATCACCAGTTTAGATCTTTAATTGGACTAGAACACAAAATGAACACTCCAACGTGTTTCATCTGGTTTTGACCTGCTCTTTTTTAAAATGTTGTTTTTAAGTGCTGTTCAGTCAGTTCCAACTCATAAAAATCCTATGTTGGATTTCTAAGGAGCAGAGTTTGAACTGGTAACCTTCTGGTTAGCAGTCCATTGCTTATCCTACAATCACACCAGGACTCACCATAAATTCACAGCAACTTTTGCCTTAACAAGTTCGAAAAATTCCCATGCAACCAAAACTTTAGGAAAAAAAACACTCTGATTGATCCAAATTCTCTCTTCCACCTCCTCACTTCTGGTAAATTTGAGTAATTAATAAATAAAATGTATACTCCTATCTTTTCTCACCCAAGTCATTATAATATCTATCTTGAGCCAATCGCTTATGGAATAAAAGATAAGCTATAATTTTAAGTTTATCTGTCTCCTAAAATGATTATTTAACCTAGGATCACATGAACTGAAGATAATAAAATCTCTAACTTTACAACTTTACAGAATGCCACTCTGAGCTTTAATTGTTTTTTTTTGAGCTTAAACTTTAAGTCTCTAAAATTAACTACTGTGGCTAAAGTTTCTCTCAGCATGTGTGGAGTTGCACATATTTTTTTTACTCTTCTTTTACTCTAGCATTGGCAAGATGCCACTTCAGAGGGCCTTTGATTTGATTGATTATCTTGGAAATGAGACCCACACTGCACCCATCACTGAAGCCCTATTCCAGACAGGCCGCATCTATAACCTCCTTGAAAAACTAGGACACATGGATCTGGCCGCAAGACTTGTGGTATGTCCTCCTTTCTGCCAGCTTCTCTTTTTTGTTTTTGTTTGTCTTGAATACTTTCATGCAGTTTCCTATGCAATCAGTAATGGACTGAAAAAGCAACCAGTTAAAATCCATTTTTTTATACTTTTCTAGTTGTGTTATATTTCCTTTGGGTTATGTCATTGTGTACTCTGAAGAATTGTTAAAGTTACGATGTGGTCTTGTTGGAATATTGGCATACATACTTCTGTCAATTCAATGTTACATGAAAAGATATGGCTCTGTTTCACATAATGCTTTATTTTACACAGTAGATGCTGGGAATTGGCTTTTTTGCAAAGTAGATCTCCACATTATTTTTGCATTGTTGTTGTTAAGTGCCATCAAGTTGGTTCCAACCCATAGCAACCCTGTATAGAGTTTCCAAGGAGGGACTGGTGAGGCTGGGCCACCAACCTTACAGTTCAAACTGACTTTTGCAGTTTAGCACATTAAGCTATAGCACCACACCAGGACTCCATTTTTGCATTAGTCATTGTAAAATGACAATTATGTATGTATTGAGAATATTCTATTTTAGGGGTTTTAACTCTTATGGATATGTGAAATGGATGTAAGTTTCCCTGCAAAGTGCTAGAGGAGTCTTGCTATTGGAGACTGTTTTACCTTTCATAAAACGAATTGCATGCTCTAAGGAGTTGTTATTTTAGACACTTTTGGTACTAAATTGCTGGCCAAACTTTGAAAGCTTGGGAGTGAGTCATCAGTTGTTTGTTTTTACCCAATTTTTGTGAGGCAACATATCTAATAATGTTTGTTTTATAAATTTGTTGGGCTTTCTAGGACCCCATGCAAAAGGTAGCTTTTAGAAAATGAAGGAAATTATAGGGCAAGAAATTAGAATTAGTCTTTTGGGGTTTTGTCACTGATAGGATAGTGAAGTGATTGAATTAAATCTTTATTATCTTTTTAAACATTCTTTCTGCTTTTACTTCTGCACATCTTATACTATGCATGAAGCTCAGTTAGGGGAGGAAATTCAGGACAGGTGGACCACATGGAGTTTGAAAGGCACTTTGCCTCTTCCCATCTCACTGCAAATTTCTGATCTGATCTCAAAGGAGCCTTTCCCATCCTACCCATAATCTTAGGTTAGATGAGTTTGAGGTCTCTGGATTACAAACCACAGGGTCCATGGTTCAAACCTGCCAGCTATTCTGCTGGAGAAGGATGAGGCATTAGCCTTAAAAGACCCTATCTATTGTCCCCGTGAGTCAGAACCAAAATGAAGGCACTTAACAACAATAACAACAACTTCTAATTGTTAAGATTAATATAAAAACCAGGCCATAAAGCTTTCAGCTGTCAACTCGAATAAAATCCAGTGCCTAGAATATGATCTGGCTTAGACTGACATGTGCAAATATTTATTAAATGATTAAGTGAAGGACCCACACTAGAAGCAAGTGCATATGAGTGTTTATTATATTCTAGACACCATGCTCAGTGTTTTATGTACATTACCTTATCATTGCTCACACAGTGCAAGAGATGAATACTTCTATCTCTATTAGGAATCCTGGCATGGCGCTGTAGGATAAGCACTGGACTGCCAACCAAAACACTGGTGGTTCAACCTACCAGTGCTCTTCAGAAACCCTACATAGGTTTACTATGCATTGGAACAATTGACACCACTTAACAACAACAACAATATTAGGAGTTCTGGTGTGGTTCTGTAGGATTATAAGCAGTAAATTGCTAACCACAAGGTTGGTGGTTCAAACTCTTCAGCCACTTCTCTGAAACACTGTGGAAGCTCTACAGCATATCTGTGATTCAGAGCTGATTTGACATCACCATAACAACAATATTAGATAAATGACGTACTGTATTAGACAAGTACGCTGTGAAAGATCTCTTTAAATTTTAAAGAGCAAAGATGTCAATTTGAGGACTAAGATGCACCTGACCCAAGCCATAGTATTTTCAATGGTGTGTGAAAGCTGGACAGTAAATAATGAAGACAGGAGAAAAATTCAAGCATTTGAATTATGATGTTGGTGATGAATATTGAAAGTACCATGGACTTCCAGAGGAACAAACATCTATCTTAGAAGTATATCTAGCGTATTCCTTAGAAGGGAAGATGGCTAGACTTTGTCTTATGTACTTTGGACATGTTATTAGAAGGGAAAAATAACCCATGCTTGGTTTAGTAGCTGGTCAGCGAAAAAGAGGAAGACCCCAATGAGATAGATTGACATAGTGGCTGCAACAATGGACTGAAATATAAAAGCAATTGTGAGGATGGTACAGGACCAGGCAGTGTTTATTTAGTTCTGTTGTGCTGATTGCTATAAGCTGCAGCCAACTCAGCGGCTCCTGAACAACAAATCAGGTAAATGAAGAGACTAAAGAACTTTACCCAAAGTCCTTTACGTAGTATGTTATTATAAAGCTAAGATCCAAACCCAGATTAGCCTAATCTTTGTGTTATATGGTTGTATTGTAATTAGTGTTCTAGCAGTGACATCTTTTTGAGGGATACTGTTTAATTAAAACACGCTTGCTTTTTTAAAAAAACTAAGATTTTTAAATTAAAAGTTTAAAAATCTTGAGACTTTACATTTACCGAAGGTTTACAATGGCGGATCCACATCTAGTTTCTATCTTAAAAATGAAGTTGTCATTTTAACATCTAATGAGATTTCTTTTGTATCCAAAATGCTAGTAGCAGGGTTGTTGTTGTTGTTTTTACAATATTTACATGAATTTCCAAGAAGCATACAAATAACTTGCTTGTTTGTTTCGGGTAAGCTTAGGTCCAGCACAGGCTTTCTGCTGCTAGTAGAGATGGTGGTGGTGGTGTTAGGTGCCATCGAGTCACTACCAACTCATAGAGACATTATGCACAACAGAACGAAATACTGCCCGCTCCTGGGCCAACATCACAATTGTTGCCACACTTGAGCCCATTGATGCTGCCACTTTACCAATCCATCTCCCTGAGGGTCTTCCTCTTTTTCTCTGACCCTCCACCTTACCAAACATGATATCCTTCTCCAGCTACTGGTCTCTCCTGACAATATGTCCAAAGTGTGAGACACGAAGTTTGGCCATCCTGGCCTCCAAGGAGCACTCTGGCTGCACTTCTTCCAACACAGATCTGTTTGTTCTTTTGGCAGCCCATGGCACTTTCAGTATTCTCCTCTAAAACTATAACTCAAATGTGTCAATTCTTCTGTGGTCTTCCTTATTCACTGTCCAGCTTTCACATATATAAGAGGTTATTGAAAATACCATGTCTTGGGTCAGGTGCACTTTAGTCCTCAAGCTGACGTCTCTGCTCTTTAACACTTTAAAAAGGTCTTGTGCTGCTTTAACTTCTTGGCTGCTGCTTCCATGTGTTGATAGTTGATCCAAGAAGAACTAAGTCCTTGACGATTTCAGTCTTTTCTCTGTTGATAAAAATGTTGTTTATTGGTCCAGTGGTGAGGACTTTTGTTTTCTTTACATTGAGATGCAATCCATACCGAAGGCTGTGATCTTTGATCTTCATCAGTATTTTAAGTCCTCTTGACTTGCAGCAAGCAAGGTTGTATCTGCATATCGCAGGTTGTAATGAGTCTTCCTCCAATCCATGATGCCACATTTTTCTTCATATAACCCAGCTTCTTGGATTATTTGCTCAGCATACAGGTTGAATAAGTATGGTGAAAGAATATAACCCTGTCGCACACCTTTCTTTCTTAATTTTAAACCATTTAGTATTCCCACGTTGTGTTCGAACAACTGCCTGTTGGTCCATGTACAGATTCCTCATGAGCACAAGTGTTCCAGATTACTCATACTTTACAGTGTTGTCCATAACTTGTCATGATGCACACAATCGAAAGCCTATGTGTAGTCAATAAAGCACAGATATACCTTCTTTAGACAGCATAAAAGATCATTATTTTTAACATTACACATGGACCTCACCAGATGGAATACACAGAAATAAAATTGATTACATCTGTGGAATGAGATGGTTGAAAAGCTCCACTTCATCAAAACCAGGCCAGGGGCAGATTGTGGAACAGACCATCAGTTGCTTATATGCAGGTTTAGATTGAAGCTAAAAAAAATGAAAACAAGTTCACAAGAGCTAAAATACTACCTTGAACATTTCTCACATGAATTTAGAGATCATCTGAAGAACAGATTTGATACATTAAACACTGAAGACCGAAGACCAGAAGAGTTGTGGGATGACATCAAGAACATCATACAGAAAGAAATCAAAGGTCATTAAAAGACAAGAAAGAAGGAAAAGATCAAAATGGATGTCAGAAGAGGCTCTGAAACTTGCTCTCTAGTGTAGTGATGCTAAAGCAAATAGAAGAAGTGAGGCAGTACAAGAGCTGAACAGAAAATTTCAAAGGTCGGTTCAAGAAGACAAAGTCAAATATTAGAACAAAATATGCAAAGACCTGAAGTTAGAAAGCCATAAGGCAAGAACACAGTCAGCATTTCTCAAGCTTAGGGAACTGAAGAAAAAATTCTAGTTTCCACTTGCAATATTGTGACATTGTGGGTTAATGCGTTGGACTGCAAAGTTAGTATGAACTTCCTGGACGGCAGTTCAAGCTCACCAGCTGCCCTTCAGAAACCTTATACAGGATCGTTCTGAGTCAGAACCGACGCAATGCCACTTAAAAACAACATGGGAAAAATATTGAATGATGGTAAAAGCATCAAAAGATGTTATGAATACAAAGAGTCACTGTACCAAAAAGAAATAGTTGATGTTCAGCCATTTCAAGAGGTAGCATTTGGGATTTTGGGATGGGAGAAGCAGAGACAGGTAGGGGAGGCTCTTTGGCAGAGGTGCAATAAAACCAGAGAAGACACTTTCCTGGAGCAGTTCAGAGCTTTGGATCTAATAAAAGGTTGGGGCATCAGTTTTCCATGCCCACGGGTGGAGAAATCTGACTGTGGCAGGAATACATGGCAATTTCTGAATCCACCGGGATGCT